CCAGCAACAAACCCATCGGGACTATTTTTTTCCAATAAAAGCTTACAATCATGTTTACAATCAACAACACAAGACAAATTAGAAATAGCTTGGTAGCGATCACCCTTCCCAGGGGTTATTATCATCTATAAATTCCTTAATATTATAATAACCCTTTTTATACAAACTTAGTTTAATAACATTTTTGAACTTTGTGTATGACAAATTTTGTATATTTTCTGGGATTTTGTTGTAAAAGCGTATACATCGCCCCAAGAATGAATTACTGACTCGGTGAAGTCAAGTAACTGGTACTACCAGCTTGTGTCTGTTCCTAGTATTTACAGAATGAATATCACTTATTTTCGCAAAACTACTTTTATTTTTGTGTACGTACATTACATTTTCATAAATGTATTGAGAGGCCAGAGTTAATATATTAATTTCTTTAAATTTTTGTCTCAGTGACTCTTTTGGTTTTAAATTATATATTGCTCTAATGGCCCTCTTCTGTAAAATAAATATAATTTCAGTGTCAGTCGCGTGTCCCCATAGCAAAATACCATACGACATAATGCTATGGAAATAACTGAAGTAAACTATTCTAGCTGTTTCAACACTGGTAAGAGTTCTAATCTTTTTTACAGCATATGCTGCAGAACTAAGTCTGCTAGCTAGTTTTGATATATGGGGGAGCCATTGAAGCTTTGCGTCCAGTGTGATTCCAAGAAAAATGGTGGTATCAACAAGACTCAGTTCCTCCCCATTTAAAATTACATTAGTATTGACATGTTTAACATTAGGAGTTACGAATTTCATACATTTAGTTTTAGTTCCATTCAAATGCAAATTATTAACATTAAACCAATTGAATAACTTAGCTATAGCATTATTTACTTCGTCATTAATTTGAAAATTAATGAAGTATCATCAGCAAATAATACTATATCATGGTTATCCCCTACTATGTAAGGTAAGTCATTAATATATACAAGAAACAGAAAGGGGCCAAGAATTGAGCCCTGAGGCACGCCCATTTGTACAATCGACCCAGAAGAACTCATACTATTAATAACAACTTTTTGTGTTCTGTCACTTAAATATGAAATAATTAATTTAAGAGCATCATTTCTTACACCGTAGTGTTGAAGTTTCCTGATTAATGTTTCATGGTGAACACAATCAAAGGCCTTGGATAGGTCACAGAACAAACCCAAAGCATCCTGTGAATTCTCCCATGCATTAAATATATATTTAATCAGCTCAACACCAGCATCAGTTGTCGAGCGACCCCTTGTGAAACCAAATTGATTTTTATGAAGTAATTTATTTACATTAAAAAAAATTAACAATTGATCAAGAATAATTTTTTCAAAAATTTTACTAAGTGTTGGCAGTACAGAAATAGGTCTAAAATTAGCGGGGTCCAATGTACTACCAGATTTAAATAAAGGTATTACTTTACTATGCTTCATTAAATCAGGAAACACACCAGATTTGATACTACTATTAAAAATAATAGATAGTTGAGGTGCGATTGTATCTATTATAGACGCAATAACTTCAACAGAAATCCCCCACAGATCGGCGGTTCTCTTAATATCAATAGTCTTAAAATATTTTACAATATCTTTTGATGAAACTTTATGAAATGTAAAATTCTTTGTACACACATTTACATTTTGTTTAAGTAATGATTCGGCGACGGTAGGAGAAGAATTCAGTGACTTAGTGGTTAAGATCGGAATATCAGTAAAATATTTCTCAAAAACCATTGCAACGTCCTGATCTGATTTAGTTAATTTATTGTTAAAACTTAACTGGTAGTTTGAATTGCGAGAGTTGACCTTACCAGTTTCACTATTAATTATACTCCATGTCATTTTAATTTTATTAGAAGCAGTCTTTATTTTGTTGCTTAAATACAATGACTTGGCTAAGGAGCACACTCTTTTAAATATTTTGGAATATTTTTTTACATATTCCCTAAATTCGACGCTAGGATTATATGACCTTTCATTGTAAAGTTCATATAACCTTTGTCTACTCTTATGGACTCCTACTGTCGCCCATTCATTAAATGCTTTACGATTATTCAAGGAGAGTGTTTTAGAAGTAAAAGTATTATTAAATTCATTGCAAATGAGCTTAAATAATTTTGCATACAAAAAATTTGGATTATTTTGGTATGAAAGTAATGGAAGGAATGGAATCTATATATGAATGACTTATGAAAGTAAGGTCTATGATACAAATGCAATATTATAGAAGGTCTCCTTGATGCATAAGCATTGTATGGAGTAGTGGGGTGACCGACTGCTCCTAGTACTGTAGCAAAATGACTAGTCCTTATTAGGGACTTGAAAAGGAATATTATGGTGGCGTGTGTGTTGCTCCATGAGCAATTGGTCCGAGGTAAACTTGGACTCGCTAACCGATGTGTCCTAGACATATCATCTTAGTGCTGATGGTAAGCGGGTTTGTTGTAGCAATACGGCTTTCCCGTAGACATCGCACACCCATACCGTTTGTGGGCGACGTCGTAGCGCATAGCGATGCGTCGTCTATCTTTCGGATTGGGATGAGTGTGTTTGGTAGCACTTTTAAGTGTAACAGGCATACTCAACTTCTTGTCTTAGTGCATTAGCGCTATGATACGTAGAGTTTTGTTCATTGGCGTCTTAGTGGCGTGCTACTATGATATGTTGGTGATATTTTTTATATAACAACAATAAAAACTTTGTTACCAAAATCGATAGGGGTCATATCGGTATGTTGTGAGGGGGCGCCATTCGTATGATAGTTGCATTGATGGTTACTGCTACTTGCGGTATTGCATCTTGTGATGGATCTGCGGGTGTGCTGCGCCTGATTCGACGCATTCTTGTGGTTCTGGTCGATGGAGGTAAACAAATAACCTCTTAGTGCCGGTGGTAAGCGGGTTTGTTGTAGCAATACGGCTTTTCCGTGGACATCGCACACCCATACCGTTTGTGGGCGGCGTGGTAACGCATAGCGATGCGTCGTCTATATTTCGGATTGGGATGATGAGTGTGTTTGGTAGCACTTTTAAGTGTAACAGGCATACTCAACTTCATGTCTTAGTGCATTAGCGCTATGATACTTGGAGTTTTGTTCATTGGCGTCTTGGTAGCGTGCTACTATGATACGTTGGTGATATTTTTTATATAACAACAATACAAACTTTGTTACCAAAGTCGATAGGGGTCATGTGGGTGTGTTGTGAGGGGGCGCCATCCGTATGATAGTTGCATTGATGCTTACTGCTACTTACGGTACTGCGTCTTGTGATGGATCTGCGGGTGTGCTGCGCCTGATTCGACGCACTCTTATGGTTCTGGTCGATGGAGGTATGCAGGTGGTGATGTCTGCTGGGATGTATGGGGGACCTTGGGATGGTGTAAGCCCGACGATAGTCGTATTGATGCTTGTTGCGTTCTGCAGCGTTGCGTCTTTGCGATGGTTGTTTGGTCGAAATGGTGGGACGCTATTCTCAATGGCACTCTCTGCGTCTTGGTTTGACTCACGCCTTTGCCCAAGTCAGGTCCCTACATTACGGGGCTGCAAACTGTCTGCCCTCCACGATGTTTTATATAACAACATAATAATATATCTCTGTAACTTTCCCACCTTTGAATGATTGAAGGCAACTTGTTGGTGGGTGAGATAAACATGATCGAAGATGCATTTACTCAACGTCAGTGACACAAACCCTTTCTGATGGCGAATTATTACTGTTATCTTATAACTGCCTTTAGGCTATATCTGCCGTTGTATTGGTTGGTGGAGCATATGTGTCGACCTCATGCGGGTGGTAGCTGGCGGAAGGATCTGAGGAGACTCTCAAGGCTGCGGCCGAAAGCCGCACAACGTGGGACCCTATTCTCTTGAGGTGAGCGGCAGACTCATGATACGCTCTGCGGCTAGTAGCCGTGTTGATCATGCAATTGGTGGTGATGCCATACACTTACATCCCGTCTGCAGGAGCGGCGGTCTGGTAGGTGGTGGCGCTCACGGAGGGTTTACGGCCAGTGTGCCTATTTGCCTAAACCGTGTGACGTACATTCACTGTGGCTGGATTCGTTCGTATTCTGTATGGCGTTTACACGCATTGATATGCGCGACTTCGGTCGATGTTTGTGCTTACGCACTAACAAGGGGTCAAGCCTCTTTTACTGGTTCGCCATTTATTTTGCTGTGGACTACGGTCCAGTTCCCGAATTAGCTTTCCCTTCGGGGGGAGCGCATCAAAATGGTTGGCGCTCACCATGCACGGCGCGTGTGCCTCCCCCTACATTTTTTTAAATAAATGTAGGAGAGCGAAGCCCCTGTATCGGGTATTTTGTATAAATATATTTTGAGCCTTTTCCGAGCGGGAAGGGATTATAAATAATGTAAACCTGATATATGAATAGGGACGTTTTATGTTCTTAACCTTTCTCGAGCCCTGTCTTCGTGAACGGGGTTCACTTAGCTTATGAGGCACTACCAACAGATTTCAATTGCTCTAGTGAATATTCATTCTTCCAAAAGACACCTAAAAGAACTAAGTTACTATACAAACACAACGTAAATAAGGGTCCCAACTAAGACGATCACGCTAAAATATTACAAACGACCTATTAAAAACCTTTTGAAAGATCATTTAGAAAGATCAAAACATATTTTATTAATCTTGGTCACAAATATATATAATTATTATGTAAAGGGGAATATAATACATTTAGTATTTAATATATTAATTATTATGTGAGAGGGGGGAAGCGTTACACTAGCATCAGAGTTCTTACCAAAAGCACCGACATCTACTACTATGAATTTATAATTTGCGTCAACTAAGGCTAACAATACTAAACTAAAGGGTTTTTTTATAGCAAAAGTAATTTGAGCCACTGTGTGGTGGTGCCTGAAGCACGTGTTTTCCATGAAAACCTTTTTCTGATTTAATCCACAACTCTTCAGTAGGTTTTGGCATTACTAAGGGCTGTAGGTATTGAATAATGGCTTCGCAGGTGGAATACACAATTCTCCGCACTGTTCGTTCACCAATACTGAAGGAAAACGACAGTGATCGAAAAGAGTTTCCAGTGGCTAAGAACCTGAAACAAAAACATATATTTAGGTATTTATTTATTGTTACAGGTAATGCATGCAAGGAACGATGGACCAGAATTAGAGATAACCATAGGAAGGCTTTGAATTTGCGCAAGACAAAAAGCGGCCAAGCAGCATCAAAGGTAAAAGCTCCTAAATTCTCACAAGAACTTTCTTTTTTAATACCGTATCTAAACGATGAGGAAGAACGGCGTTCAAACCTATCACCTAGAAGTGCCAACAATAACGAAGAAACACAACTTCAGTTACTGAATGAATTAGGTTATCCAGATAACCATGTATCAAGCGATGCACACAGTGAACAATCCATGCAATCCTTGGTATCATCACGAATTATCCGTAAGAAATCGAGCTTCGCAACTTCAAAAGCTTCCAAGGACCAACTGCAGCCAGCTTAACAAGGACGGCCGAAACCAGAAACCAGAGCGATCCTCTACTTGATTTTTTCATAAATATGGCAAAAACAGTAAAGACTTTTCCGTTTGCAAGTTAACATTAAAGATCAATTATTTAAAATGGTTAACAACGTACAGATAAGACTTGCGACTACTCCAATAGATCGTGTTTCTGATCCTTCGACATCTGGTTCTAACGTGAGAATAGTTTCAAATGTAATGCTTAGTCCGGCACCGACTGGTTCGAAATCAATGTTTCCTCAATCGGCTTCTTCAATTCTTCGGATTTTTGCTGCACCTGCTATGAACGAAACTCTTCACATTCTGCCTCTGGAACCTTCGACAGTGTATTCTCGGTCATCTACACCCAATGAAAGGCCAATGATGTCTCCAACCGACACTAGCCAATCCATTTAAGAAGATAAAAATAATGTGACACTCGGCTAATATACCTATATGTAACCGATGATTAATTTTAATAAATAATTACCTTACATACACAGCAAGCCTTTCTTCTGGTCGTATAGCCTCCCTGTATGCTGTCTTGATAAATGTGGTTTCAGGATGTCAACAAAAGTATTAAATTTAACTTGAATCATGCGAAAATATTGGAAGAATTTGGTATCATCGTTTAGCAAATCAGGAAACAGTGTGTGATATTCTCCATGTTGCGATCTTTTCTTGAAAATATCGTGTACCCAGATATTGTTTCCTTTTTCTAGAGTCCTTAGCTTTTTCTTCCTCTTCTTCAGCTAACAAACAAGCAATTACAATAGTTTCTTCTTCGTTTTCTTCCATTATCTCACAAACAACACGTCAACACGTACCACCCGTCACTAAAATCCGTATGAAAATGACTTCGGCAATCCGATTATTAGAGGTTGCGTCAGAAAATGCGATCGGTGCCGATACAGTGGACGCATAGTGCAAAACTGGTCCATTTGATGCGATGCCGATAGGTGTACGCTTACCTTATACTGCCATGCGTTGCTGGCGCCGCTGACGTCACTGCTCCTCCTCCCTGGCTCATTGGCTGGTCCGCACCCCGCACTGCCCGTCACTCGCTGGCAAGTCTTGCACGGCACCCGTGGAGGGGGGCCCCGATACAGCGATCCACTGCCAATGGTACGAAGAGGCAACAGGGTTCCCTTCCTGCTGATGATGCACCACTTCTTGCCGCAATCCTGTTCGAAGGACCAATGTACACCACACGATGATATAATTATCTACTGCGCTGATTCGCGGCAAGGTTCCTTCCCTCTAGTGGGGGAGAGTTCCAAAGACTGTTACTGATTTTTGCTGTCACTATGGTAACCAAAGTAAACAACGTTTTTTTTTTGCGCCCGAAGCAAATATGGGCAACCCTCCGGAAAGCGGGGGAGGGAGGCGGTGAATGCTCATAGCATACCACGCAGCCGGCTGCGTGGTTATGTGGAGACTTTTACCCACTAAACACCGCCTTTTAGGAAATGGCTTAACGATCTGTCTAGAGATCTCTAAGCCGTATACGAACGCGACCCTCCTTGGCAGAAAGGAGGGCGCAAGAACAACGTATTCAGTGATACATACATTTATTTGAAAGTCTCAACGCTGTCATTTTTAGCACAACAACTCAATAGTGCGTATTTTATTAGGTGAGCGGCATCTAGCGTGGAATAGCGGAACTACAATACTGTTTATTTTCTATGGATACATAATATTATACTCAACAGTAGTAAATAAAGTTTCCCCCCTCACTGTTGTGAAAATAAATAAAAAATTCCGCATATACCGCTTGATTTATTATAAACTATTCCTATACCACACACCCTCAATGTCAAATACACTCTTACTTACAAGTCCGCACGTAAAATTGCCATTATGTATAAATATATCGGAGTCATGAGACCCATAAAATCGGTCTCATGACTCCGAAAGAAGCCATGAACATATGGATTAGGAAAATTAATGACTCCTGTTTAATCTCCATACTTGAACGCGTCCGACAGTGACGTCTCTCATCGTCACGAACTGGCCGGGCGCGACATTACGCTCTGAGCTCTGTACCCGACAACTAGTGTCAAATGAATTTATTGTATTTACTCATTAAATGTACTACTATATCCTATCGCGGAATTTCATTGTACTTCAAATCCTCAAGAAATTGAAGACCAGCGTAATTATATGGTGACCCCGATGTGATTTAACGCAAGGAAAATTACTAGTATATCGAAGATTTTGGTTAAATACTATACCGAACTAAGGCGAACCCTACCTCAAGGAATCCGCCAGCCAGCAGCTGCAGCCATTGTTCCGAGGGAAGTTCGTTTAATTTTTCCTTTATATTTATCAATCCTGCCTGTTTCAATTTGTGTAGTTTATGTAAAGTGGATAACGCCTTTGGCAAAAATTATTTACTACCGTCAACTTTAAAATATAAAAACGCTCAAATTATTACTGGTTAAAAATTAGATTTTACGTTAATTTAACAAATATTCTGCCACATATTTAAGGTATAACGCTAATTTAAATTAATTTAATAAAATAAATAAGTAGTTTTATTTCCTTTACACAAACATTGCACTTCTAGTTAACCTAGTGTTCATAATTTCAAAACAGTAGTTATAACCTTTATTTATTTCATTTATTGGTTGCAATTAAATAAAACATTATATTGCATGATAAATACAGTGGTACAATCTATGCTCATTTTCCAAGGCCCCATTTAAAAGGATTTTAAGGAACTCTATTGTTAAACATAGTTGCCGACTATTCCAGGCTTATTCCGGTAAGAAAGATTTGCTGTTAATTCCGACAAGAACAATATCTGTCGCCGTGCAGCTGCAAAACCGGTTTATTCACTCGTCGCTGCATTGAACTAACGTAACGTATTCACTGTTTATTTTGTTTATATTGCATATTCAGTGCGAACAAATTTATCTGTTTATTTACTAGTAGAAAGTTATTTGCACCGTCATAATGAGTGAATTAAAGGAACTTATTAAACAGAGAGGTCATATTCGAGCTCGGCTTACACTATTTGAAAAATATTTAACACCGTTAATGCATTGTAAAGAAACTGATACATTGAAGATACATAAATTGAACCTTCGATTAAATAAATTACGCGACCTTTCATGTACCTTCGAGGAAGTCTAGTCAAAAATTGAGATATTGGATGAAGATACAAGTAAACAAATGGAAGAACCCGAGACAACAGATAATTTATTTTTTAATTTAATTGCTCAAGCTCAATCGTTAATAGAATTTTTTGAAGATACAAATAAGGTTGAATCCTCATCTAACCAAATATGCAATAGTTATAGTAATTTAAAGTTACCACCCTTAAAGATCCAACCTTTTAACGGCGCTCCAAATAAGTGGCTTTCCTTTAGGGATACATATTTATCCTTAATTCACAATAATGAAAATATTGACAACATTACTAAATTTCATTACCTTAAATCATATTTAGAGGGTAATGCTTCTTCTGTGATTAACTCTGTTACTGTATCTTCTAAAAATTATGCGACCGCTTGGCAACTACTTTGCGAGCGATATAATAATAAACGTTTATTGATAAATGAGCATATAAAAGGGCTATTTTCAATCGAACCGTTACATAAAGAGACAGAGGCTGGTATTTGCAATTTAATTGATACGTTATCGAAAAATCTAAGTGCTTTAAAATCCTTAGGTGAACCCACCGACAAGTGGGATACAATTATTATTTATATGGCGTCGACAAGGTTAGACAGTGCGATTACTAGGAAATGGGAGGAATTTCGAAGCAGTACAATTTCACCTAGCTTAGAGGAGTTTTATTCATTTCTTCGTCAACGCGCTATGGTTTTGGAAACTATAAATACTAGAAGTCATGCAAAATTGAAAGACGTTACAGTGTAACAAAAACTAATTCATTTTTTACTTCTTCTGCCCAGTCATCTGCTGACAAGCGGTGTGCAATCTGTAACCAAGGTCATAAACTACATGAGTGTTTAAAATTTAAATCTTTACCTGTTGAAGAGCGTATTTCTAAGGTTTCCCTTTTGAAATTATGTAGCAACTGCTTACGCGGCGGCCATCAAGCATTTCAGTGCAGGCTGAGTGGCTGTAGAATTTGCAAGAAACAACATAATACTCTATTACATAAACAATATTCTTCACAACATATACGCATGCAACAACTTAAAACACAACAAAACAAAACTACACCATAACAAAATTTACAAGAACTAACAACATCTATTAATGATAACAATTCTACAAAAACAAGTGAAGCAAACTTACCTAATATTACAGTTAAATCCAATGTACCCAGCCCTTCCTCCCTTGTTTCCATGTCTGCTGTCTCCACAAATCAAGCTATTCTTTCTACTACATTGGTAAAGGTGACAAACAATAACAAGATTTTTATATTGAGGGCTTTACTAGATTGTGGCAGCCAATCATCTTTTATCAGTGAAGAGGCTCAAAGGAAAATGGGTTTTAATAAAATAAAGAAATGTTACAAATGTGTGTCAGGCATAGGAAATACTGTTTTAAACATCACTGAACATTGCTTAATACAGATACATTCAATATATAATTCATTCAATACATCAGTTAAATGCTATGTTCTTCCCAGAATTACTGAGCATCTCCCTCATGCCACAGTTCATTATCAAAAATTAGGTATTCCAAATGATGTACAACTGGCAGATCCAAAGTTTTATCAACCTTCCGATATTGATTTACTATTAGGTGCTGCCATATTTTGGGCGCTGATTGGAACGGATAGAATAAATTTGGGGCCTCAAAGGCCAATTTTACTGGAGACACAATTGGGCTGGATAGTTGCTGGCCCTATGGTAGAAGGTTATTTAAACAGTAACAATTCAAATATACAATGTAATTTTTCACATGAGGTTCGTAAACAGTTATCAAGGTTCTAGGAACTTGAAGAAGTTCCTAATATTACGTACAATAAGGACAATTATTGCGAAACGTTATTTAATAAAACTACTCGCCGTGAAGACGACGGTAGATTTTGTGTACAAATTCCTCTAAAGGATTCTGTAGAAATTTTAGGCAATTCATATAATATTGCGGAAAAAAGATTTTTACAACTTGAGAAAAAATTAAACAACAATGATAAATTCAAACAAGAATATCAACATTTTATTAAAGAATATGAGCGTTTAGGACACATGACCAATGTTTCAAAGCCCCCATTCGGTTGCTATCTCCCACATCATGCTATGATTAGAGAAAATAGTGAGACTACGAAGCTTCGTGTAGTTTTTGATGCTTCTGCAAAAACGTCCACCGGAATCTCACTTAACGATATACAACATGTTGGCCATGTAGTGCAGGACGACTTATTTTCCATTTTGCTAAGATATCGGCAACATAAATACGTTGTTACACCAGTTGTGGAAAAAATGTACCGTCAAATCATGGTAGATCCTAATCAACGAAATTTGCAAATGATTTAATGGCGTGATGAACCAGCACAGCAAATTAAAATATATCAATTAAATACAATGACGTATGGAATGCCATCGGCGCCCTTTCTGAGTACACGTTGTCTATTGCAACTTTTAAAGGAATGCAAAGATAAAAAAATAGCACAGCTAATAAAGACAGACTTTTATGTTGATGACTTTCTTTCTGGTGCTGAGACTGAAAGTGAATTACAAAATATAATCCAATCGGTCACTACAGATCTCAGTACAGCCAGCTTTCCCTTAAGAAAATGGCGAACTAATGCAAATATTCACTTTCAAGGTGAGTCAAATACATCGCTGCCAAAAAATTTAGATTTGACTTCGCAACCCAGCGTTTTAGGTCTTAAATGGGATCCAAGTAAGGACATTCTTCGATTCCCAGTTAACATTCAGTTAGATCAAAATATAACCAAAAGGACGATTTTGTCCAATTCGGCTAAATTATTCGACCCATTAGGTTTGCTTAGTCTTTGTACTATCATACCTAAAATAATTCTACAAAAATTATGGTTGACAAAACTTGATTGGGATGATTCGGTGGATAATGTATTAAAGGCAAAATGGCAAAATTTTATAAATAATTTAAACAGCGTATCGTTCATTGAAATACCAAGATGCGTTCTCATAATTAAACCTGTGGTGATAGACTTACATACATTCTCGGATGCTTCACAAGCAGCATATGCATCTGCAATCTATCTTAGATCGGTTGATAGTTCAGGTAATGTTCTCGTCAGATTACTTTGTGCGAAAACTAAGGTTGCTCCAGTTAAACCGACGACAATACCTCGATTGGAACTAAGTGGTGCCCTGATTTCGGCGCGATTAAGTGTTAAGGTGTTAAAGGCCCTTAGTTACAAAATTCGTTCAGTCTATCATTGGACTGATTCAACAGTCGTTTTAGGTTGGCTATCTTCTCAACCATGCGATTTGAAACCGTTTGTTTCAAACCGCGTTGGGGAAATAAATGAACTTACTAGTTCAGATGTTTGGAGGCACGTCCCTGGAGATAAAAACCCAGCAGATCTAGCCTCACGTGGTTTAAACCCTAAATTAATTAATTCTGCCACGCTTTGGTGGCAAGGACCGTCGTTTTTAACCGAGAATTCATGTAATTGGCCTAAAAATGTTAATATAAAAAATATTTCTTGTTTACCTGAAAGGAAAACTTATACTAAATCACTACAATCTATAACTACACTACAGTCTACAACTACACTCCAACCTACAACAGAACGACAATCTAAATGTTCATCAAATACTACTTTAACTCTTAGCAAGTCTATGATAGTAAATGTTGAAAGATATTCAAGATTCACAACATTACAAAGATGTTTAGCTTACGTTCTACGTTTTATACACAATTCACAACATAAACATCACAAATTCACTAGTCCCTTAACAATCAGCGAATTAGAGTCATCTTTAGAAATCTTAATAAAACAAGATCAGAACGAATGCTTTACAGATGAAATTAAGGTTTTAAAAACTAGGGGAAACTTACCATCTAAGTCCCGCTTATTGGCGTTAAGTCCATTTCTAGACGCACGGGAAATAATTCGCGTTGGTGGCCGTACTCAAAACTCTAATGAAGCATACGAAAGAAAATATCCAATTTTATTAGAAACGAAAAATGCCTTTTGTAAATTGCTATTTGTTCATTATCATAAAAAGCTTTTACATTGTGGACCACAATTTTTACTTACCGATATAAGAAACAAATTTTGGCCTTTAAGAGGTAGAGTGTTGGCAAGATCAACTGTCAACAACTGCCAGCTGTGTAAAATAATAAAGGTGAAGTGTTTTAATCCTATAATGGGTAATTTGCCTGCTACTAGAGTCATTCCAAATCCTCCCTTTCACATAAGCGGGGTGGACTTTGCTGGGCCATTTTTTATTACTGACCGTAAAGGTCGCGGTTGCAAAATAACGAAATGTTACTTACGTTTATTTATTTGTTTCACTACAAAGGCCTTGCATCTTGAAGTAGCAAGCGATCTAACTACCGATATTTTTATATTATGTTTAAGACGTTTTATATCCCGAAGAGGAAAGCCTCTTATATTATATTGTGACAATGGTAAAAATTTTGTCGGTGCAAATAATGAAATTACAAAATTTTTAAAATTGAACTGTGAAAGCATATCTGGTTTTGCTGCTGACGAAGGCATACAATTTAAATTTTCATCTGCGTATTCTCCGCATTTTGGCGGACTTTGGGAAGCAGGTATCAAATCTGCAAAGTACCACGCAACTAGAATATTAGGCGACAAACATCTTACCTTTGAGGAGTTATCTACTTTATTTGCGCAAATTGAGGCAATCCTTAATTCTAGGCCATTAACTCCGCTTTCCTCAGACCCCAATGACCTCAATCCTTTAACACCAGCGCACTTCTTGATCGGCAGGCCACTTACATCGCTACCATCGGAAAGCTTATTAGACATTAATTTAAATAGACTTGATAGGTACCGATGCCTTGAAAAACTGCGTCAACACTTCTGGGTACGCTGGCGAAAAGAATACTTGAGCGAATTACAACAAAGGTATAAATGGCAGATCAATCAACGAGGATTTCAGGAAGGGGATTTAGCAATTATAAAAGAGGCTAATGTACCACCTTTGAAATGGCGTACGACGCGAATACATAAATTACATCCTGGTTCTGATGGAATTGTACGAGTTGCAGATGTCTACACGACGAACGGCATTGTGCGCCGTACCGTCCACAACCTGTGCCCTTTGTCGAGTTCAGCCACAGCAGAAGCACCTCAAATTCCTGAAGACTTTGAGGGGGGGAGGATGTTTAATCTCCATACTTGAACGCGTCCGACAGTGACGTCTCTCATCGTCACGAACTGGCCGGGCGCGACATTACGCTCTGAGCTCTGTACCCGACAACTAGTGTCAAATGAATTTATTGTATTTACTCATTAAATGTACTACTATATCCTATCGCGGAGTTTCATTGTACTTCAAATCCTCAAGAAATTGAAGACCAGCGTAATCAACTCCATATGGAGTCATGTACAGGGAACGTGTTAATAATAGGTTATGGGCCCAGCATTGCCCTTTAGGGATTCTTTTTAAGTATATTTTAGGTAATTTCGATAGCATAGGCGTAGGCACTGTGTTTTACATTTGGATTGCACATAAAACAGTGGAAAATTAATAATAATGGCTGCCAACGCATTCTTGACAAACGTGCCTAAGTTAAAAGGGCGTGAGAATTATCATGAATGGACTTTTGCTGCAGAGAAACTGTTAGTCTTAGAGGACACAGATCATTTTATCAAAAGGGAGCGTGCTGAGGATGTAGCCGCAAGAGATGCGAAAGCCAAAGCCAAATTAATTTTCGCGATCGATCCTTCAATGTACGTGCACATCAAAGACGCGTCAAGTACAAGGAACTTGTAGCAGAAACTACAGAACATGTTCGATGATTCTGGATTCTCTCGGAGAATAACTTTATTAAGAAATCTGATATCAATTCGTCTCGACAACTGCGATTCAATGACGAAAAAAATAATTTTGATTGATTTTTGTGTAAAAACTATATGTTTTCTGGGATTTATAAGGGTTGTGGTAGATAGTAGTACTACTAAGGTTGCCGATACAAAAAAAAAAACAAAAAAATATTAAAAATGTGGTCACGCTAGTTATAAATACCATATCGGGGTATCGATTTTCGAAGAATTTCATTTTTTTTGTAATTTCAAAAACGATTTAGATTTTTTTCTTTTTATTTTTTCTCGAGTAGTCATGAGCAGGTCCGCCCTCTGGTGCCCGTTTATCGTTGAATTTTGGGACACGTTGTATATACAACTTTATGATTGTACAGGTTAATTCTCACTCTAGCCACACCAAAGATAATGTTTTTTTTTACATATTGACAGAAGACATGGCATCCAAAGGCGCTAATGAAATATCTTCGTGCTTATACTATTGTCTTAATCAAATAGATTTGGTTGGGAAGAAGTTGATAAGACTTGTGGCAGACGGTTGTGGCGGCCAAAACAAGAACACTATACTAGTTGGAATGGTTGCCAAATGGTTGTATGATTCACAAGGTATAGAACAAGTGGAAATTGTCTTTCCCGTTACCAGGCATAGTTTTATTCCACCCAATCGAGTAGTTGCCCTTACAGAGAAAACAATAAGACGACTGGAAACTATAATTAGACCTGAAACCTACATTGATGTGATGTCTTCTAATGCTACCATTCGACGCGCAGTTACAGACATACCAATTTTTGATTGGAAGACAACGTGTAAAGATGTGCTAAAAAGCACACAACAGTTACACTTTCAGATTAGCAAAACCAAGCGAACTATCATAAAAAAGACAGAACAAGTCAAATTATTGGTCAGAGGTGAAATCTGAAATGATACATACAATCCATTGGCAATAACAAAACGTTGCAAATCTATTGCTGGAATTGTGCCGGATAGAATAGAACATCATTTTAATGTTAAAAGTGAAAAATTGCATGATGTTGCAAAGCTACTTGAAAAACATTTTGGGGCGGACTGGAGAAACTTGCCAGACTATTATAAAAGTGTTCTGTCCCATAATGAAAACTTACCTACGCAGGACGATGATGATGTAGTAAACGATAATCCTGAATACCTATTAGAAGTTATCCTTAATTTTGTGTAATGAATAAATCATGTTGGAATATCTATTTGTCACCTTATTTTTAGTTCCTAAAATAAATTTGAAATTTTATTTTAGGCATGTGTTTTATTTTTTTTTATATAAGCCAACCCTGAGTCCGTTCCCTTATTATCCAATTACATCAAAACAGCTTAAGTCACTTTGTGTTTTTTCATAATTGATTAAGTACAGTGACAGTTAATTTCAAACGAGCCTAAATCCATGATGTCACTATCAAAAATGCTTTAGTCCCAATTATAAACCAGTTTATTTTAATTTCTGATTGTAGTTTTGCCTTTTTCTTTCGCCAGTGGATATTATTTTAAATGTATTAAAAGTGCTGCACTCTACTCCTTGGTTTCATATAAGTCAATAATAGAAAACATCGATTTCTCAGAATTAGCAGTGACTTGGGCTCGTTTGCTATGTACCGACTCAAGTAATATCAATTCATTGTGAACAGATAGCTTCATAGTTTCCAATAACATTTAACACGGAATACAGTACACGTACCTTAATTCTAAAAACTCTCCATAGATGGCGCTATCCTTTTGTGAAACGCACAAACATTTGATTTTTCCGGAACCACAAATTAAAAATGTTATCAAAATAAATGGTCTTTTTCGTCAACTGAATGTTGGTGTTTTATTTATGGCCTTCGGAGCCGGATGCAGTTGAGCAGCAGATGGAACTGAGGCGAGCAAGTTTATATGGGTGTAAAACTGTAAGTACTTTTATAGTATTGAAAATAAGAGTTTAAAATTTAAAATAAATTGAACCTTCGAGCAAAGAGATATGCAACTTAGAAAAATTTGAAAAAAGACTTGTAATATTGGACGTAGAATTTTAATTGAGACGGGAAATCCATGTCCGATTTTGCCTAAAGTTTACAACCAAAACACTTAGAAAAATTACGCCCATACTAGATATAGAAAAAATTACATGCTCTCTCCTTTACAACGGGACTTGTAAAGAATTTTTCGATTTTCAAAGAAATAAAATAACTATGCAAAGTAAAATAAGAGCTCAGTCAGATATGTTCACCCGAATGAAAAAGGCAAGAGTCAATTTTAAGAAATATCCAAAATATAGGATAATATCAAACTACATAGAACCTAGAATTGACATTTTGAATGGACAGTGGGAAACATTTAACAAAGTACATGAACAACTATTAATGAAGTCAGTGATGCTGATTATGCAGAATTAGATTACATTATTTCGCGCAGATTCAGAAAGAAGAAGAGAAGATCACAGAGCACGATCACGCAGATTATAAAACAGAATTAAAAGTATGCTTGAAAAAATTTACTCACGTACCAGCCAAAACCCAGTACGCGTTGCGCAGCAATGAATAGCATAGTATGCAGCTTCCAAAGATTTCTATTCCTAGTTTCTCAGGAAGGTACTCAGAGTGGACCATGTTTCGTGACCTTTTCTTATCACTAATTCGCAATAATAATTCGTTACAAAAGGTGCAAAAACTTCAATACCTAAAAAGCTGTTTAACCGGTGAAGTGGAACAACTATTGCGAAATTTATCAATAAAAAGTGACAATTATTCAGGGGGTTGCGATCTTCTGGAGAAAAGACTTAACATTAAGAAATATGTAATTAGCTAACTGTAATCTAAAAAGCTTTTTAGCCAAAAAAATGTTGTTCATGAAAATTCAAGTGCTCTTAAAGAAATGTTTGATACTACTAACGAGTGTTTAAATGCGTGGAAAAGTACTGGTGTAAAAACTGAAAATTGGGATATTATTGTGATTTATTTTTTGTCCTCAAAATTAGATAGTCAATCTTGTAAGGAGTGGAAAGGAAAAATTTGTGACCTTACAGACGACTTGCCCAAATTAAAGCAATTTATGGAGTTTTTAGAACACAGATATAGGTCACACCAATTATTTAATCCTAAAATCACAAAATGTACTCAATCGCATCATGTAGTCACTAAAATAATGACAAAGTTTCTATACCATGTTCCTACCTATCATAAGCTCAGAAATTGTAAGAAGTTCGTAAATTAAACTTTATTAGTATGCCGTAATTTTGCCCAAACCTTCAACTTGTGTTTTAACTGCTTAGACGCAAAGCATTCGGCCATAACGTGTCGTTTACTAACAAGTAGTTGATGCGGATAAAAAAGCGAAAGATGAGCCGATTTATTTCAACGAAGATACCTATTTCAAATGTAAAGAGTTTTACTTAGGGTACCGTAAAAATTATGCAAGATATTCGTGTTCTTACGCCAAATCATTTTCAGCAAACGCTACTGACAATATTAGTGAATTAAAATCAACAGTCTTCCTCTATGCCACAGAGACAAAATAGTTAAACAATAGTAATGTTTAAATATGATTAAAAGAACGGGAAAAGGGTTAATGTAAAATTGCCACACATTCATTTACCTAAGTTTTCTAGCAATTAAGAGGAATCGCAAAGGTTCTAAGGTATAGTTTTATCACTTATTTATAACGTAAATTATAATTTAAATTCAGTTCAAAAAATTCATTTTATAAAAAGAAGCTTAACGGGTGAACCTGCATCTTTTCTTAATAATTTATCTGTAATTGAGTTAAATTATGAGGAAGAGCGAAATCAACTAAAATATACACTAATAAAAAGTGTAATTACGATGAGGCGATGAGGCGTTGGTTTAGCGTTAGTAAGTAATTTTTATTTACTTCACTACTTAGTAGTAAGAGTATTTGTCAAAGATATAAAAGAATAAAAACTTATTTCAATAAATAATTTCAATCTCCCGCCATTTTGGGATCACACTGTGTGTAATTTTGTGATTTTGTGTTTGTTTTCTTATTTTGTGACTCATTCGTTTGTTCGTTTAATATTCGTTGAAGCATATGCCCATGTCACAAGGAATGATTGGGTAAAAGTGGTAGAAAAACAAAAAAAAATATTATGGATGACTGAAAGACATATTAATTTTGACTACATTATTTAAAATCAAATAATAATTAATCTAAGCAACGACAGTTCAACTAGTTAAACTGAAAGTGATTGAATAAATTTATTTTTAATCCAGTTTCAATCTTAAATTTTTATAACTTTGCCTCTAGAAATAAGCAGTAACAAAAAACATGAAGAAACTGATAAATCTTGCGTTTTAAATTATTTAAAACACAAGATTTATCTAAATAATATAGGATAGGGTGACAAACGAGCACACCGTCCACTTGATGGTAAGTGTTTGTTGTGGCCCATAGACATCTAAATCTATCCTCGTAGGCGATTCAAAATTCAGATGTGTTGTCACCCGTGAGGACTAAGATGGAATGCCTCGTTTCCAGCAAAAAGGACTCTACACTCACCATACGAAACACAGCAGCATTAAGCTACTATTTCACGCTGGTATTCTGTGAAAGCGTGGTCCCTCCCCGGTCGAGCCGACCCATTCGTGATACGACTATACTACTAATATAACTGCAGCATGGCTCTACCACGTACAAAGATTTTCATAAATTCATATCTCTTAATAAATGTAAAATAAACGTTAGTGCCGAAAAGTAGTGATCAGTTTATAATAATAAAGAGCTGTTTTGTGAAAATTGTAATCAGTCACAAAATCTAGTCTAGTCAGTCTTAAAAATGTTGGCGAAAATTTACGGAATATTACATTACCATTATAACAACAGAAGATTTAAACAAATTAAAGAAATATAGAGCCAACCGATTGTCTAAAATTGACAATTCACGAAAAAGTTATTTTATTGACCTAGAATTTACGATTTCGAAAATATTATTATAATTTATAAATCAATTTATTTATTTAACAATTTTGGAAAATAAACGAAAGGAGTTACTGGCTTCACACGATTTGAAAAGTATATATCGACTAGTGACGCTGTGTACACCAGCGAGGATCTGGAGGCAAGTAAGCGCAATTTATATGCACGTTATCAACAATTGTCGTTACAATCACAAACAATTTGTGAAACAGCCGATTATGAGGATGAAGTTGAGGAAAGATATCTCAAACTACTGGCAATACGAGATTATGCAAAAGATAGATTGAGCAATGGAACAAAATTAACGTCGTTGGATATACCTGTATTTGATGGCAGGGATATTTCAGCATATGCGCCTTTTATAAAAATGTTCTACGCCGTAGTTCGTTCAGACATAAGAATAACAAATATATAGAAGCTAAGTTTACTTAGCAAGAACGTTAAATGAGAGCCATTAGAAATAATAGATAGTTTGCATATCGACGGTGAGTCATATCAATCTTCATTGGACCGTCTGAAAAAAATATGACATTTCAGCATTGTTTAAAATAGTCGTGTTACCAGCCTGCTAGATCTTCCAAGTTTCCATAGTGGTACATCCCAGCAGCTCACGTATTTGACGATAAAGGCAAGACAACATATCATTGCTTTAAAAACCTAAAAAAAATCAGAGAATGAATGGAAAGCAATATTATCATCTGTTTTATTAAGAAATATATTTGAGTCATATATTCGATTGGAATTAGTGTAATATCATTCCTAAATAAACAATATAACTCATCCAAATTTAAAATGATACTTTTAGAATTATTTCTTCCGCGACTGCAACGCGCCGGGTGCCAGCTTAGTACATTAGTGTTTAATATATATATATATATATATATATATATATATATATATATATATATATATATATATATATATTTATATATATATTGCTGGCTACTGTACCTTAAACGTTTATTTTAATGTCCTAATAAA